ATAGCTAAGAAAGATGGTACGACAAGGTTGTGTATCGACTATAGAAAGATTATTGCGAAAACTATTCGATATGCATATGCTTTGCCACGAATAGAAGAGAGTCTTGATGCACTGAAAGGGTCCAAATGGTTTTCTACCATCGACTTAAAGAGTTGTTATTGGCAGGTCTTGATGGATGAGCGAGACAGGGAGAAAACTGCTTTTGTTACACCTGTTGGCCATTATGAGTGTAACCGCCTGCCCATGGGTTTGTGTGGGAGTGCAAGTTCATTTCAGAAAGCAATGGAGAAGTGCTTGGGTGATTTGATCAACAAAACGTGCGTTGTATATCTTGATGATTGTCACACGCAACGTAATATTACCGTAATTGGTATAGTACAGGTCTGATGGTTCAAATGCCAAAATGGCAACAGTAACAGAAAGACTTCCCTGGCGGCGATGATAAAATACGAACACGGAGCCAACAAATGAGGTTTCAACTGGTACTGGTATTATTATACTCTGCAAACATCAAGTACAATGCCGTGGTAAAACTCCACTACTCCAATAACTAGATACTTAAACTCCAATACAATTCAACGAGATCTCTGATCAGAACTCAGTGCATTACCTTCCATTGCCTCCTACAGTGTTCTATTACCTATTCAACCAGTTTCTAAAAAAAAATCTAGAATATTCCACCCAGACACAGTACGGTTCTAGAACATTCTCAGTGACACGGAAGTGGTAAATAAGTCGTATGCGACAATGATGTGGTGATTTTTTCGCAGTCATTCACAAGCCATTGTGAACATCTGAAGGAGATCCTAGGGAGACTGAAGAGTAACAACTTGAAGGTCAAGGCAAAGAAATGTGAGTTCTTTTGTAAAGACTTGGGACATAGTTTCAGAGGAAGGGGTAAGAACTGACCCGGCCAAGACAGAAGCCCTGAGAAATTGGCCAGTGCCGAAGAATGGTAAGGAGGTGAAGACCTTTCTTGGTATAGCTGGGTACTACCGTCGTCATGTGGAAGGCTTTTCCAAGATTGCTAAGCCACTGAATGCTTTGACTGTGGGACTGTACACTCGGAAAGGAAAGAAGGGTGATAACCCATGTAAAGTGAAGATGCCAGACTTTG